TGATGTAACATGTAAAACACTAAGTGCTGAGACTGGTATGTATAAATCATTCCATGATGTCAGCTGTTATGACACAGTTCAAGTCCTGAGATGTGGAGGTAAAAACTTCCACCTTGCTAAGCCTGTTCATCCACAGCACTATTGCTCTCTCACCAAGTATATATGCCTTTTCCACAGACAGTGTACGTGTAAATGAGGCATCCCCAGATGTTGACCAGAGCCTGGAATTTTCTGGGAAGGGCCTCCTTTCATACATTTGATCCTATTGACAGAAAACAAGTTAGAGCTGTCTGGTCAAAGTAAGCTAATTCCTCTGCATCTATCCTGGGAAAGCCATTGCTCTAGACCTGTGTGTTAAGCTATGCCTGGGGAAAGGGTGATTTGTGTCGGGCTTCCTTTGTGTCAGGTAATATCAACTGGTAGCCAAGTGAGAGGTAGCCAACTGTTAGCTGATGGATTGCAGGATAGTTCAAACTCACAGTGACTGACAGTTGGTAAGGTTAGGGTCCCCTAAAGCAGAAGTGGAAAAATTTTCCTGTAAAGAACCAGAAAATAAACACTGTACGCTTTGTGTTATGTTTTGGGTCTTAAATGTCTCCCTAAAACCATGTGGTGAGGGATTAGTTGCTACTCTGTGGTGCTAATGGAAGGTGGGGGAACTTCTAGGAGGCGGTGTTTAATGGAAGGAAGTGAGGTCATTGGGGGCATGCCCTTGAAGGGGATATAGGGGACCTTGGCCCCTCCTCTATCTTTGCTTCCCAGAAGCTATGAAGGGAGCAGCTTTGCTCTTGCATATGCTCCCTGCCGTGTTTTACCTCATCATAGCCCAAAGTGATAGAGACAAGTGACCATGAACTGAAACCTATGTAACCATGAGCCAAAATAAACCTTTCTTTTTTATATAGTTGATTTTGTCAGGTATTTTGTCACAGCAACATAAAGCTGACTAACAAATGTGGTCTCTGTTGCAACTGCTCAACCTTACTTTTATAGCATGAAGGCAGCATAGAAAATATGTAAATGGGGCTGGAGATATTGCTCAGTGGTAGGACCCTAACCTAGCATGCATGAAACCCTTGATTTGATCCTCAGAAACACACACACAAAAGGGGAAAATAACAAGCATGACTATATTCCACTAGAACTTCAATTACAAAAATAGGCAGTAGGGCCTGTAGTTGTGGCTCAGTGGTAGAGCACTTGCCTAGCATGTGTGAAGCCCTGGGTTTGTTCGATCCTCAGCACCACAGGAAAATAAATAAATAAATAAGATAAAAGTAAAAAACATAGGCAGTAGGCTGGGCTTTTCATTACAAAAATAGTTGGTAGGGTGGATTTGGCCCATGGGTTATAATTTGCTGACCCCTAGCTTTGGGGGAAAACCTGATTATAGTTATTCAAAAAGAATTGAATAAAATTGCCCCCCCAAATCCAATCACGATGAGCCCCAAACTCTCCTGGCATAATCTACCTTTTTTGTCCTCTTTAAGCAAACAAGAGGAAATAGATGACTACCCTGGGCCAGGGATTCAGTCTATGTGGATGGAACCACAAGAGGCTCTTTTTGTCTGTGGATCTACTTACATACCAGAGGTTAAGAAAGATATAGTGCATGCCAGGGAACTTGTGTGTTGCAGCTTTACTTTTTAAATAAACTAATTTATTTTGTGCGTACTCTTTTCTTAGGCAGATCTCTGGACTCATGATTATCCATGAATCAAGACCTCAGACTTTCAATGGTACAAGATCATGTGTTATGGATTACTCACTCTCCAGGTGTGCCTCATTGTTTTGTTATGATTGGCATTTTTATTCACTGAACTCACGTCTTAGATGTAAGTATATATTAACTGATGTTAGCAAAATGTTAATCCATCATGTGTACATTGGCAAAAGCATTCTGATGATTTCATACTGACCAAATATTAGTTTGAAGAATCTTATATTGAGCAAGTATAATCCATGGTCCTCTCTGAGTAAATATGAGGAAAGAAAAGGAAACTCTGGGGATGACTTTGTGTGAGTGAGTGTATATATATATATATATATATATATATATATATATATATATATATATATATATATTTGTTTTTTTTAGTCGTAAACTTTTTTTTTTTTTTGGTGGAGCTGGGGTTTGAACTCAGGGCCTATGTGCATGTGAAGCAAGCACTCTACCAACCGAGCTATATCTCCAGCCTATTTTTTAGTTGTAGATGGACACCATAACTTTATTTTATTTATGTGGTGCTGAAGATTGAACCTAGTGCCTCTCAAGTGCTAGGCAAGAGCTCTACGACTGTCACAACCCCCGCCCCTCTGGGGATGTCTTCGAGATAGAAGCCAGCCTAAAGGTAAGGAGCCAGGGTTTTTAAAGGAATGATGGCAGATCCAGCCACTGCTTCTCTATCCTTAGTCTTGGAACTCTTGCCTTATTATAAAGAGCCTGGCCGACAGTTGAATCTCCTTTGACAGCAAAAAATGAGGCATTCAAAGCCTAAATTCCTGTAGTTAGGGCCATGGTAGTGGACATTTCTAGGCTATTGAGATACACAGAGCAGATTCAGTGTTGTTTGGGATGATAATTCTGGGTATCCTAATTGATATCCAGTGTCTAGCCAGAGAGGACCTAGAACCTAAAAAAATTCAGCTGTAAGACATATGTTCCTAACCAGTGGGATGAGAACACAATAGGATGGGGTGTCATCATGTTGATTTGTTATGCCACTGATACCCATATTAACAGGCTTATTTGGTGAGCCCAGGAATCAAGAAGATTGGACTAGTTTTTTTTTTTTTAAGTATTTTTATTAGTTGTTGGTGGACCTTTATTTTATTTACATATTAATATATGGTGCTGAGAATTGAACCCAGTGCCTTGCATATGCTAGGCGAGTGCTCTGCCACTGAGCCACAGCCCAGCCTCCAACTAATCTGGTTTTATGCACAAAGACCTGTTTATGAAAATGTATTGTTTATAAGGAATAACTGGAAACAATTAAAATGTCTATCAATAGAAGTTTGTTGTTCAGCCATACAACAGAAGATCATTTAAAAAGGGCTGGGGGAGCTGGGGTTGTAGCCCAGTGGTAGAGCTCTTGCCTAGCATATGGGTTTGATCCTCAGCACCACATAAAAATAAAGGTATTGGGTCCATCTACAACTAAAAATATTTTTTAAAAAAATGGGGATGCAGCTCAGTGGTAGCACACATGCCCAGAGTGTGCATGGCTCTGGGTTCAATCCCTAATACCATGGAGAAAAAAAGATCACTTAAAGGAGAAATCTGTATGTATTAGTATGCAAATGTCAAATAAGACCAAAACTTATAAAAATAGTGATTGTATCTTATTTTGTATAACACACATATAAGGAACTAGTCAAAGTGATTCCATTGGGAAAGGGAACAGGTTGAAAGATGAATTCTATATGCATTTTTTTAAAAAAGACCAATTTACCAAAAATAAAGACCAACTGTTTGTGTCCATAGTCTTATGAGATTTAGGTAGTAGTGTGTGGCATTCATTTTTCCAATTTACATAGTTCTGTAATATTTGATTTTTAAATGATCAGAGTGCCTTGCAAACAAAAAAAAAGTTCATATGCTACTTGTAGATCACAGGAAAGAATTGGTTATTCATACAGAATGGTTAAATATATCATTGAGGATTCTCAACCTACTGCTGGTAAGAACTTTCTCAGGCCCTTAGCTATAGCTGAAAGCCAACTCTTCTGGTGTCTTTTGACGGACACATGTTAAGTATCGGTTATTGATCCACTTTGTAATCTTGACTTTATTACAAATACATAAAAACAATTCCACATTGAAGTGAATGGAAGCTGGGCATACTGACCTAAGTAACTTTTGAAACAGAATCTGTAAAATTAAAAATTGAAACTATACATAGCATTCAATGTATTCTAGTTGATAAAGTTGCTTCCCACCTGAGGATGGGAAAATTCTGATACTGTTATACATGTACAGCCTGTCCCTGATTTAAAATGGTTCCTCTACAAGTTCTAACTATGATGGTGTTAAAAAACAGCACATTCAGTAGAAACTACACTTCTAATTTTAAATTGTGAAATTTTTCTGGGCTACCAATTTGTGGTATGATACCCTAGTAAACAACTACTCCTCTATAGTGTGCTGTTGTTCAGTGTTTTCTGGATGTGTATTCAATAAAGTACATGGTATATTGAATATTTTATAAGTCTTTGTATTAGATAATTTTGCTCAGACACACATTTAGGTTAGGTATATTAAATATATTTCCTACTTACACTATTTTCAGTTTACAATGGGCTTATCAGGATGTAATCCCACCAGATATCCAGGAGCAGTTGTATACTGGAAATGAGCTATTAAGTAAATGGAAGACAGTGGGAACCAGCTTTGTTTCACTAAATGAAAACATGTTCAGACTTTACATCAATATAAGCAGCATTACTCTTTAAGTCCCCAAATGGAAAACACAAGGTAACACCTGAATGTCCACCAGTGGATAAATGTATAAGTACAGCTACATAATGAAGTATTATTTGGTAATAAAAATTAAATACTGATGCAGGCTACACACATGGATAGAACTTGAAAACACTATGCTAAATGCATCACAAAAGGCCATGCATTGTTATGACTCCATTTATACAAAATGTCCAAATATACAAATATTTGGAAATAGAATTAGTCATTAATGATTGCAGTGACTACTAATGCAGTGATGAAACTTTGGAAAATTAGTTTATGTAAATATGGATTTATGGAAAACCACTGAAATGAGGTACATTTTACAATATGTAAATTCTCAATAAAGGTGTTACAGAAAAATCCACTGATGACTTTTTTTTTTTGCTGCTATTTTTAAAGACAGGTGCAATACTAAGCAGATCAAGTCTGAGTGAACTTAAACATTAAAGTTAACCCCTCTTCCAAACAGTTTTGTTTGTTCTAGTCAAAAGAGCTGAGGTATGGAAGAACTGAAAGAAAGACTACACTGAACAACTGTTTTATAAACCTTTATTGGAAAGGCTACAAACTTTATATTGCCACTGCATTTCTTATGCTTAGTGTTATGGGGAAGCAACCCTGAATACAAAACTACTATGCTGTTGAATCTTGCCCAGGCTTCTTGTAAAATATTTTTTTGTACAATGGAGGTAGAGTGGATAGGGCAATAATTTAAACCTCACAGGCCTTGATTAGTGTCAGGACACTTTTTCTTTTTCACTCAGGTTCTAACAGATCTAGAAATAAACTACAAGTGCTATATTTAGGCTCAGGGATGGCAAAATACATTTTAAAATTTTAGTTTCAGTTTCCCCACTTGTTTCTTTACAAATGTAAATGTTTCTTTTCCCTCAAGCATGTTCTCTATCAACTCTAGGAGTGAAATAGAAAAGATGGAAAGAAGAGGAATACAACATCCTTTTTAAAAGTTGTTTTACCTGATTTTTCTCTTATCAGCCTATGTCTTTCTTTTCTATAAAACATTATAGAAAATCAAATAGTCAATGCTTCCCCCAATGTCAAATATTCAACTTAATGGAGACAGAGCATATTTTAACTTAACATTTAATGAAAACAGAGCATTTTAACAGGTTCTATGCAAACATGGTTCTATTATTGATTTGCCGTTACCTTATTTTTAAAAGAGGGTGGTGGTGGGAAGATACAGAGGCCTGGGCTAGCCCCAGTGTTCAGGATCATAACTTAGGAATTACATAACTTAGAAGTCCTTGACTCTACAAAGCATCAGTTGGAAGTCAATAAAGCCTGTTTCTACCAACCTTTGTCTCAACTGTAAAATGGGCAGGTGCCTGAGGCCTAAGCTTCAAGCCAATGGGTTTTTAAGGGCTGTTTAAAAACCAGAACTAAGGATACATTCTTCAGTTTAAGGATGCATTTTGCTTAGTTCAAAATGTGTTCTTCCTTCTAAAAATGTGACACAAAGAATAATTTACACCAACCGCTTTTTATTATCAAGTTTCAGAAACCTTCCATAAGATGGTTAAAAAAAAAAAGGGAGGGATAAGAAAGGGGGGGACCCAAAAAAACTTATACAACCACTGCTAATGTAATTTTTTCCATTGTTCCCAGTCAGCTCCAAACCCATTTTGTGCAAAGCCCATTTTCCATGCATCTAAATGATAGATACAGGCTATGAAATTCTTTATTCTATTTGTAGCAGCTTATGCAGGTGCAGCCAAACACAAAGCTTCAGGACAAATTGTACAAACTTTACAATGTGGGATTTGAATTTAAAATATGAAACATAAAATCTACACAAAACTGATAAAAATCAAGCACAGATAAAGACTGAAACTCATAACCGATGTGTGAAAGGGAGTCTTGTTTCCTTTCAAGTGCTTTATTCTGCTACAGAACAGTCGAAATGAAGATGTAAAGCTTTGTGGTTAGTTTAAATTATACACTCTGTAGATACTATACCAATTTTAAAAGTTACACATAGACCAACAGATGTCCATCAGTTCATCTGGATTGATCAGACACTCCAGCTGGCTCGCTGAGAACAAATCAGGCAAATGTGGAAAGAAAATCCACCTGTGCAATTTGTTTGCAGAGTTACTGATGGGCACACTGTACTCCAGGTCCATGATGGCTGCTGCTTTCTTCATCAGAGCTATCATTATATGCTTCACGCCTCTGACCACCTCCCGAGCCTCGAGTGCTATCAAATTCCTGAAGCTCTACCTCCTCTGTTTCTCCAATTACATTAGGTACTTCTGGTCTAGATGGCAGAAGATCTTCTAGTTCCTTCATTAGTAAAAATAAAAATGGGTTAACTATAATGTTTTCAACTTCCCTTTAATACAGTCCAGCTATGTACTTCTTTGGGAGTTAAAATAGCAAAGTGACTGGTTTGCACTGTAAATTGAGAGATCACAAAGTAATAACCCTCAGGCCCAAACTGCAGATATCCTTTGTGCAGCCCATCTACTGCTTAAGTTAAAAACAACAACAAAAAAATGTAATTAGCTGTTAACATTTAAGCACTGGAAAATTTCACAGCAGACATACTTTCCTGTACCCCAGCCCTCTTCAGGTGAGGAATGTGTTCCCCTAGGCTTCCCAGGATTCCCACCACCACCTCAGACTCAAGTCTGTTTTATTTCTTATAATTCCCTTGTTAGGCCCCACAATTACATCAACAACCCTTGCTTTTACATCCATTATGAAAACCCATCAATAGCACAATATTAACAAAATAAAAATTTGCCTGATCTTAGTAAAAGCAAATTGGGGAAAACAAAAACAAAACAAAATTGAAGGTGACAAAGTACTGATTAAGAAACTTTGAGTTGCCTAAATTTAAAGATCACTTACAGAAAGCTTATCTGGGTTGATCCAGTTGTTTTCAGGAAACTGCACATCAAACTTTATATAAAGATCACCTTTTTCAAAGGGATTACGATACTGTGGCATTCCTTCACCTCGAACTACACGAACACATCCTATTATTTAAGTAAAGAGGAAATTGTGAAGTTCTTTGAAGCTGTATCTACATCAAAGATCCTGCAGACTGCTTGAACTTGGCTGATCAACAATGCCCCAATTGCTTCTGTGGTGTGGGGGATCAAACTGGCAATGCTAGGCTGGCGTTCTACCACTGAGCCACACCCTTGTCCTGTTTTTTTTTTTAAATATTTTTTTCTTAGTTGTAGTTGAACACAATACTGTTATTTTATTTATTTTTACATAGTGCTGAGGATCGACCCCAGAGCCTCATACGTGCTAGGTGAGTACTCTACTGCTGAGCCACAACCCCAGCCCAGTCCTATGTTCTTAACAGCCTTTCACCTTAACTTTTGTATTTGAACTAATATTCTCATAACTAATAGATAAGCTTTTCACGATGCATCTCTAAGTTTAGCAGACCTCTAGACTCTACTAATTGTATAAGATAACATCTGGTACTTGTTGGAAAAAAAAAAAAAAAAGAGGGTCTGGGATTGTAGTTCAGTGGTAGAGCGCTTGCCTAGCATGTGTGAAGCACTTGGTTCAATTTCAGCACCACAATATAAATAAAGGTACATGGACAACTAAAACTAAAACTAGAGATTTCTCTGCCTTCCTGTAGCCTGATGTTCCCATCAATCTAATTGATAAACATACTGATTTATGGCTTTCTTTTTCCTATGACTATAAAAATTCATGTAACCTCTTCCATAAAGGAAGATATCTTTTAGGATAACTTGAATCTGTGTTCCTGGAATAAGCTATTTTATTATTGTCTTTAAAGAAAGGCATGTAGAAACATTCCTTTGAGTTACCCACTATGAAAAAATTATGTTTAAGAATATACAAGCTAGGCACAGTGGCAGAAATCTATGATCCCAGCAACTCGGGGCCTGAGGAAGGAGTATTGCAAGTTTAAGGCCAGCCTCAGCAACTTACCAAGGCCCTAGGCAACTTGGTGAGACCCTGCCTCAAAATAAAAAATGAAAAGGGCTCAGTGGTAAAGTGTCTCTGAGTTCAATCACCATTACAAAACCAAACCAGTCTCCTTCCCCCAAAACCTATATCAGATAAAATCAAGATTTACCTGGTTCAATTACTTTGCCAGGAGGGTATTTCACCACAATTTGACGTCCATCAAGGTGCTTAAATGTGAACTGAAACCCACATAGAGCTTCAACAAGTCCTATCTTATATGTCATGTGCAAATCATTGCCATCTCTCTGGAACACCTTTAAATAAAGCACACAAAAAACACTTTAAAAAATTACAGATCCATACCCTGTACTATATTCCTTCAATCAACTTCAAAATCTTAACTGTATCACTGCTTTAAAAGTTTGTGTGTCACTGTCCCTAGTTTCCTAAATTTATGTTAGAAAAGCTAGTAATTCCCAGGGAGTATGCTAAAAACTTGTATTAGGAAGGCAATGAACCAGGAAAACATTGGCACAAGAACAGAGCTGAGGCACCAAAACCTAGAACCAAGTATATTTTCCAATTACTTTCTAATTCTGTCTCTGGGCAGAAAGACCAACAGGCTTCTATTGAACAGGCTCAATCTGGAATGCTCCCCAGATTTGATCCTAACAAGCGAAGAAGGTTTAAGATCAACACTAAAAAGCTTTACCAGGAAGGCTCAGACATTAAAGTGAAGAGGCTCAATTCAGTGCTTCACATATGCACAAACAAATTTCATCTCATTTAAAATTGAAAACCTGCTTAGAAGAATGTTAATTAAACAAATGATAAAGTTGGCTTATTCAATCCAATACCATAAGCCTATAGACTAGGTAATACAAAGGTTACCAAATAGACACAAAGAATATCTCTAGGATTTCAATGTTTAGTAAAAATAAATTCAATTTCACATATATTTAACATGTAATTTTTACTTGGGAGAATTTGCAAATATCTATACTTAACTTTTGAAATTTGAGATGAAACAAAATTAACTGCAGTGAAAGGTCACCTAGTTTTTTTTGTTGTTGTTGTTTGTTGTTTTTAATATAACAGGCTCTCTTCTAAAGAGCAATCTTGGCTGGTTCTATCCAAAAGATAGGCTCTTTTCCTAAAATATTCTCCTAAATTTTCCCATGAAATAAACTGTTATCTTAAGCAGTGATTCTCTTAAGGGTGATTCTGGTTGGGCAGCCTCAAAATCAACAGCAGGAGGAAATTTGCTGGGAACACACATTCTTGGGCCCCATTCCACACCTAATGCTAGAAGATAAGAGGTGGGCCTTAGCAATCTACAGTTTTCATAACCCCTTCAGGAGATTCTAAAGCAATGCTTAGGTTTTTGAGAACCAATGAATGTATATTAGCTATGACATTTACTTGAGTGTTTCTCACAATGGAACCAATAAGCCTTCTTTAACCAATAAGGCAGAACTTTTCAATGCTTTTAAAATGTTACATTGTTCTTAAAATGTCAGTGTTTCTGAATACCAATATTCTAAGAAACACCTTTTGCCAACAATTCTTTGGTTATAGCTTATTAGAAATAGGGAGCAGAAAGAGATATCTGTTCTTATGCGGGAGAGTTCAACTTAAAGTAACTCCAGTGAAAAGTATGAGGTATTCCTAACAAAAGCTAGGAATGGTGGTGGTGCATGCCTATAATCCCAGTGACTAGGGAGGCTGAAGCAGGGGGATCTTAAGTTAGAAACTAGTCTCAGTAACTTGGCAAGACCCTGTCTCAAAGCCAAAACAAAATAAAAACAACAACAAAAGAAACACAGAGTCACTGCTATTCTTTTAGTATGTTGGGATTAAGACAATTTGATGCTAACGTTTAAACACAAAAAATAAGCAAAAATGCCATCGAATTTTTGTTGCCAGAAAATTTTTTAAAAGCAAAATGAATAAGGGCCTAATAAATACTAAACAGCAAAGCACATAAAAACCTTAACAGTCTGAGAAATAATACTTAGAAAGATTACAAAGAAGGGACTAACATCTTCAGAAACTGTTTTTCTATGCTGTACAAATGCACTTTTGTAGCCAGACCACAACACACACACACACAATAGCAAGAATCTGAACACACATGAGATAGCATTCCCAATGACCTCTGATCAGATTTATGCTGTTTAAACTACAGCACCAATCTTCATTTCATTATGGCCCCAATTTCTTCAGTGGAAGTGATGGGAGTAGGAGTGGGAAAGGTTTTCTTGAACAGTTAGCTCCATGTCTTACTTTCTTCAGGAGATCAAAATATTTTCAGTTGTATGAACTAACCAAGATTCCTAAAACTAATCTTTTACTTTACTGGTCATAATAAAGAAGGAACTAGGTGAATTTCCATTCTAATCTTTACCAGCTTCTATTTCCTACCTTAGACGATCAGTTACTCTGCTTTCTGTTGGAAATTCCAAGCAATTCTACTGATGCCAACAATTTTAAAGTTTCTTATTTCTAAAACACTTTCTCACACCCTCAAGAAAGCAGCTTATTCATAATCTCATGCAATTCTCTACAATATGCTTCCTGAGGGAAGACTATCTTTGTTTTTGGTAAGCAAGGCCTGGGGAGGACAACGCAGGTAACTAAATGGGGGTCAGAACTTAAGTTCCTTGTCTCCAAATCCAGCAATCTACTTTTAAAATTTAATTATACAGCAATATTATAGCAAAACTTGAGTATAAAAAGATTTTGCCATTAGTTTGACAAACCCTAAACTGAAAAACATCAATCATTTATTTCTCCTCTCCTCCAAGTAACTGTTACTTAACTTTCTCACTATTCTCATATTGCTGCACTGCCAGACATCATTTGATAATCTCAAACTACTCCAATGATTCTATCAATAAAAATATTCTGGGGATATTTGAACCATCATTCAATATCATCTACACAAAAGCAGACTATTAAACATCTCAATCAGCCTCCCACCTCTTATGCTTTGTATGGTGTTGTGTTTGTATGGTTGTCCAGCAAGCAAGAGGGAACAAATGAGGAAGTAGTTAAAATGCCAGGCATGGTGGCATACGCCTGGGATCCCAGAGGCTTGGGAGGCTGAGATAGGAGGATTACCAGTTCAAAGCCAGCCTTAGCAACATCGAGGAGCTAATCAACTCAGTGAGACCCTCATGGAGGAGCTAAGGAACTCAGTGGAGACCCTGCCTCTAAATAAAATACAAAATAGGGCTGGGAATGTGGCTCAGTGGTAGAGCACTTGCCTTGCACATGTGAGGTACTGGGTTCGACACTCAGCACTACACAATAATAAGTAACTAAAGATATCGTGTCCCTAAATAAATAAATAAATAATCAAAAAGGATATTGTGTCCCACCCACAACTTAAAAAAAAAAAAAAAGATGCTTATCATTTGTAGGTTTGGGCATATCCAGGAAGAGCTGAAACATATAGTAAATTACAGTTTTACTGAAGCATGAACTCTGATCAGTGTACCCTAAAAAAGGATAGTCCAGAGAAGTGAGCCACAACCTTGTGAGGAAATACAAATTCCCAGAAATCTGCTTCTCAGTAATGGCCTTGATGTTATCATCTTTGGATTTTTTTAAACAATTTTTTTATTTGTTCTAATTAGTTATACATGACAGTAGAATGCAGTTCTACACATCATACATATATGAATATAACTTCTCATTCTTCTGGTTGTACATGATATAATCATGTATGTGCATAGGGTAATAATGTCCAATTCATTTTATTATGATTCCTATCCTCTTACCCTCTCTCTTCTTTTTATTCCACTCTTGTCTACCTCCACCATTGTGACTTAGCATCTGTATATCAAGAGAATCCATTGGATTCTTGATTTAAATTTTTAAAAACCCTCTCTCCCCCCTTACCCCCAAATATATACATATGTGTTCATGTGTGTGTGAATACATATGTGCACAATGGTGTAATCAAATTAATACACACTAGACCATATTGTTAGACAAGTTCCACAACCTGTTCTTTCAAGGAACACTCATCTGGCTACATAATAAGTAGAGTAAAACAAATCAGAGCAGAGTGTAAAGCCCTATCCACTCACTCATCAAAGGAGTTTCAAAATGAAAAATAAGCTGCCTCAAATCATCTGACCCAATGCCCTATTTTCATAAAAAGGAAACTGAGGTGAAAAGATAACAGGATTACTTAAGGTTATAGTGCTTGTCTATGGCAAAGTTGGGACTGAAACTATAGTAACTCCTACAATGCACCTGCTTTGTTGGTCAGTTCTTGCGTAAGCAAGCCATGCTCACTGAAACAACTTCACCTATGTTCAGTGTTACTCTGGGGATCTATCATATTTCTTAAGCAAGACCAATTTCTGAATAAAACAAAATTAAATAAAAAGGAAATTACCTCATGTTCTTTCTCCTGTAGCAAAAGAACAATGTCTCCTGGTTCCACTCCTGGGGCCTGGTCTGCTTCCCCAGTGAATGTAATTCTCTGTCCATGTTTCATGCCTTTGTCTACATGAACTTCAAGAATCTTGACTTCTTTAATCACCTTCTTTCCTTCACATTTTTTACAGCGGTCCTTTTCATTAATTACCTCTCCTGAAAAGAGAGGTCATTCAAACTTTCAGCAAGAATACTATCTACTGCCTTTTCAAGTAAGATAAGTCTCAAAAATGCCCTTAATTCATTAAATACATGTTCTGAATTACTTCTAATTTCTACCTATATTTCTGTCTAAAGTATCATTCTGAATGACCAAAACTCACATCTTACTACAATCGTCTGAAAGACACAGCTATACACAATTTCAGAATGTAATGTTTCTTACACTTTCTTTGCTCCTGATTCTACTTCCTAAAGTTAAAGTGATATCTAAGAATCAAGGAAAAGGGTGGTGAGATGCTGGAGCTTTAACTGCTTCTTTAGCAAATGTTTTCAGTTCCATAAGTTTAACAATGGACAGAAATTATCAAAATAAAATTTTAAATATCTAAGCCTTATTATTAAATTAGATAGTTGGTACTGGAGTTTATTTCATAGACAAAATCTTGTTCAGGTGTCTGCAGATGTTCTTTCATTTTAAAAAACTTCCCCCATTTTGGTGTTGGGGATAAAATCCAGGGCCTTATGAGCTCTACCACCGAGCTATATCCCCAACCCTAAACTAATATTTACTATCACTGACTTTTCAAAATCAATTAGAGATGTCTTGAGAGTTTTAGCTGGCAATAAATTCCTCTGTATCATGTTTTAAGATACCATGGCTTTTCCATATATTCTTCTGAAATAATCTAATTATGGTATAATAACAAAACTACATTACACAGTACAATGTGAAGAACAGCATGGCTTTCTAATGCCTGGTTGTTGACATATTTTAATTGTTAGAAGGTTTATATAATAACTTCATGGACTGTTTCTAGAGCAGTACTTGTAAAAAGTACATTTTGTAAAATACCAATTCCTCAAAATAGTAATGGTACATGGGAAAGGGTTCCAATTGACTTTGGTTTCCTTTTTTTTTAGTTATAGATGACACAATACCTTTAATTAATTTTATGTGGTGCTGAGGAGCGAACTCAGTGCTTCACACGCTAGGCAAGTGCCCTACCACTGAGCCCGACTTTACGATTTCTTGATAGCAAATTGTTAGCAATTTCAATAATGTTAAAAGCGTAAGATTATCTAGGAAAAATGCAGACTTTTCCACCCCCTCAAAAAGATCTACTAGGTAATTAAAAAAAAATCCAGTTCCTCAGTCACACTAGCTTCTTTTTTCTTTTGTTGTTGTAGTCCCTGGGGAATGACCCCAGAGCCTTAAATATATATCAAAATTGTTCTACCACTTGAGCCACACTCCCATTACCTACTAGCCACATTTCAAGCACTGCTACAGGTGATTAGTGGTCACCTGTATGACACTGCAGATAAAAAACATTTTTATGTTGTGGCTCAGCGGTGGAGAACTCCGTGGAGAACTCGCCTAGCACGTATGAGGCGTTGGGTTCGATCCTCAGCACTACATAAAGTTCTAGTGGAGTAGTACTCTAGAACAGAAATATCTCACAGGTCAAATTCGGAAGGCTTCTTCTTTTTTTTTTTAATCAGTCTTTAGAACACAGCCATGCCCATTTGTGTACATACTGTCAATGGCTATAAAACCACCAGAAGGACACAGGTAAGCAGATGTGATGAACTATTTGTCCCACAAAACTAAAATATTAACTTCTGTGAGAACAACTTCCATTCTAGTATCTTTCCTCAAAAGCTAACTAAAAATTATAGTAAAGACAGGCGCAGTGGTACACACCTGTAATCCCTGCAACTACTGAGGCCCTGAGGCAAGAGGACTGAGAGTTCAAAGCCAGCCTCAGCAGATTAGCAAGGCACTTAGCAACTCACTGAGACCCTGTCTCTAGATAAAATATAAAAAAGGGAATGTGGCTCAGTGGTTAAGCACCCCTGCATTCAATCCCCATTACAAAAAAAAGTAAAATACAAAGGGACAAATAATCATTTACCCATCTTTTTCGAATAAAAAAAGATTGACTTAACTTGGGGCTGAGGGTATAGCTTAGTGGTACACAGTATGCTTAGTACAAGCAAGGTCCTGGGTTCAATTTTCAACAACCAAAAGCGAAACAACACTCATTTTCACTGGACATAAACACAAATTTACTACTTAACTGTGTTCATTGAGCCTGTCCATAATGGAATAATTATTTTCACTTTTAGACCTCTATACAAATATACATTGAAAAAGAAAAATTATAACCCTTTAATATCTGCTTTCCCAATTCACTCCAACATAAAAGCAAAGAAATACTGGCATGTATACCTTCTCCATTACAATCAGAGCACACAGACTGCATCTGTTGTACCATTCCAGGAGCCAGCTGTCTGATCATGATGCGTACACCTCGACCCCGACAAGCACTACACTTCTGAACAGCTCCAGACTTCCCACCTTGGCTAAAGAGAGCAAAGTATAAATTAGATTTTACCCACAGACCATTCCAATATGCCATTCAACCAGAAACTGTGCTGTTAATCCCCCATTACTAATATTTAAACTGACCTTAAGAGGTATCAGAAATGTTCTGTTTGGTAGTAAGTTTAAAATCATAAACAATTTTTATCCAATACAAACTTTCAGCCTGCCACTAAAGAGGAAAATAATATTGCATAAACCAAATACACACTTACCCACTGCATGCACTACAGAGTACATTCTTGCTAAGTTGTAGTTTGGTTGTCTTGCCATTATAGAGATCTTCTAAAGATACTCTGGGGAGAAAAAAAAATCAAATTCAACTAAAATTTTGCCAAATTCCTTAAATATAAGATATTAATAGCTGATACAGCAAATTCCATGGTAATTTTTTAAAACAAAAATTAAAAAAGACCCCACATTAAATCAGTTTGATGGACACATCTTATTTTGTAGCTCAAATTTACAGAAAGATTTTAAGACTACAGACAATGTAAATGGTGCTCAAAGTCAGAACCTATAGCAACACACCACAATTCACTGTGGCACAATTTCAGATAGAGCTGATAACTGCACAAACTCAGTCATTAAAACCTTTTTCTGGCCTCAGGCACGAGCCCTCCATCCAAGTAATTCTTAATCACAACCCTCTGAGGTAGTTATCCCCATTTTACAGAGAAGCTAAGTAACTTGTCCAAGACAAGGCTGTGCCCCCCACCCACCCATTACAAGGACTGCAAAAAGTTATGTTACAGCTTAAGGGAGGTGTTTAAACTGTGTCTCAAAAAAGTGGCCTTGGGCTAAGAAATGTATTTTGGTGGTAGAACACCTGCCTGGCTTGCACTTGGGCCCAGGGTTCAGGTCCCAGTACTGCAAAAGAACAAAGTAGATTTACCTACACTGTGACAGAAAGGAGGGGGAAAAATAGGTTTTCAACAGAATGTCTCCAAGTTTTAAAGTGTCTGAAGATTCCATTTTATCATAAGCAACACTGAACAACCTTTACCAAATTTTCAAAGGAGTCAAAATTTTCACAAGTTTAACTGAAAAGCCTGTTATCCACTCATAAAGTTGTATATGGTAAAATGGCATAAAGAGAAAAAGCTTATTAAAAAAATACAACTGCTAAAATTTAATTAACTTTTATTTATAAATAGTACATTTGAATCACAATACCAATTACCATACCAGCCTCAAAAACTAAACAAAAACCAAAACTCCTGGATTCAATCCCCAATACTACAAAACAACCAACTACATCCAAAACTATATACAGCAAAAGTCTCACCAATACTATTCATTTAGGACTTGGCAGCAAAGCCTTTAATGTTTTTAGTTTTACCATTCTTGTTGTCTTTCAATCTTTATCTCTTTTTCCCCCAGAGTTGGGAATCAAATCCAGGGCCTCACCCTTGCTAGGTAAGTGTGTTCTACCACTGAACTATATCCCTAGCCCCTAAACCTCCTTTAGTAGTATTAATGATTTACTTTTAAAAAACTGGGAGTTAAGGGGCTGGTGTTATGGCTCAGCGCAGTAGAGCGTTCGCCTAGCATGTGTGAAACCCTGAGTTTCATCCTCAGCACCACATAAAAATAAATAAAAGTATTGTGTCCAATTACAATTAAAAAGTAAATATTTAAAACAAAACAAAACAAACAAAAAACCTGGAGTTGAAGAAATGAAGAAATACTTTAAAAGGCACCTATACTATTTTGTGGTATTCAAACTTTCTCAAAACCATTCTTTAAGCTAAAACTTTCACACACTGCAGACTGTATAAAAATAACACATTTATGGACACAACAGTACCAACAATTCCAGATGACACTTCTACATCTCAAGTCTTAAACTTATTCGTCGCAACTATTTTTTTCTCCTACTAAGTACCTTTATCCAAACAGGTAGTCCATTTCACTTATGTATGTGTGTATGTGTGTGTGATATATATATATATATATATATATATATATATAAAATTACAACTAGTATGCAAAAACCACTATCTCAGAAGCCAGAAAAATCCACATTTTAACAAACAGGGCCAAGAAAGGGAAAATGGGAGTAATGATCAAGCAAAGTTAACACTCTCTATCACGGCCTAAACTGGTACAATCCCTTCATAAGGCAATTCATTTATATTTATCAGTCTCAAACAGTGATGCCTGCCAAAAGAGACACAAAACTGTACATAAAAATACCCATAGCAACACTATTACAGAAAAAAAAAGTAATAATATCCTATATAAAAGATAAATGAGGCTGGGATTGTGGCTCAATGGTAGAGTGCTCGCCTAGCATGCGTGAGGCCCTGAGTTCTATCCTTAGCACCACATGAAAATAAAGGTATTGTGCCCAACTACAACTAAAAATTAAATATTAAAAAAATAAAAAAAGATGAATGAGTAAATGTATCACAAAATGAAATATTATAAAGCCACACAAAAGAAAATGCAATAAGTAGAAATAATAAGTAATATTAAAACAGCAAAAAATGCATTTGCTGTAGAGTATAAAAATTTTTTTAAAAGGCATAGGAAATACTGGAGTCTTTTTATTTTTTTTGTACTCAGGATTGAACCCAGGGATACCACATGCCTAGCCCTTTTTATTTTAAGATAAGGCTTCACTAAGTTGCTGAGACTGGCCTCCAACTTTAATCCTCCTACTTTGGCCTCCCAAGTTGCTGGGATTACACATATGCACCAACATGCCTCACTGTTTACCTTTTTTAAAAAGTCCATCTATTTTTTAGAACATTTCTATATCCAAGAAAAATATGGAAGAACCAAGTCCTCTTGCACAAAATATTACTATTGGAATAGTATTCAAGTGAGAATTTATTTCTAAGGGCAAATTCTTTCAAAACACACATAAATTTAAGGATGACTCCACATGAATTCCTACAATTTATTCAAATATTAAACAAGATATATTTGTTGAAGTAATGAAATATACACGTAAAGTATGAACTTATCTCTGGCATTTGCTAGTGAAAACTTTAGTAGCTCATGGAAAAAAAAAAATCACTGGATAAAAGACCTCACAAATTTCAAATAATGAAATATCTACTTTCATATTATAAAGGGGTTGTGGATTCCCAGTCTAAGATCAAGGTCGACACCATTCAGATGCTGGCAGGTTAATGCCAGGCTGGAAGCCAGTAAGCTCCATGGAAACCATTTTTGGAGAGTTCACACTGAAGATTAAGTAATGAGTGACTATAACATGTAAACAGACTGGTCAATCACTATGTAATTTTTTTAAAATAAAAGATAACTTGAAAGATTTAAATGTTTCAGAGAAAATAATCCCCACACTTGAAAAATCCATCTTCCTACTCAGTAAACAACATTAATTATCCTTTTATGATCTGAAGCAAAATACAAACATCCAGTTATTAAATTCATTTAGTCACTTAATGAACACAGGAAGACACGATTTTTTTTTTGGTACCGTGGAAGAACCCAAGGGTGCTTGACCACTGAGCCATATTCCCAATTCTTTTTTATATTTTATTTAGAGACAGGGTCTCACTGAGTTGCCTAGGCCCTTGCTTTTGCTGAGTGAGGTTGCCTTTGAACTTATAGTCCTCCTAACTCAGCCTCCAAAGGGAATGACTTTTTTTGTTTTCAAATGAAGGAGAATATTCTATGATACTTCTATCGGAGTACTACCACTTGAAGAAAGTACACAATATTTACTAAAAAGAAGAAGACAAAAAAAGATACTCACTTTAGCGGATGCATCATGTCCTCTCCTCTTCTTCTGCCATTTCGACTTCTACTCTGATTGCCCATGAAGCCGAACAATCCTCCACCAAAAATGTGAGAAAAAATATCATCCATGCCACCACCTCCACCGCTACCTTCCCGAAGACCTTGTTCTCCATATCTGTCATATAGCTCACGCTTCTCTGGATTTGATAATACTTCATATGCAAAACTGATTTCTTTAAACTATAAAGAATAAAGTAAAAAAAAGAAAACAATTGGATTTTCAAATACAAGAGTGGGGAAAAGTTATAGAAAACCAGAATCCACTTAACTCCAATAAAAGCTGTCAATTATCTTTGGTTTGATTCTGGTCCTATTTACCCCTAACTACTGCTCAAATGTTAATATTCGCAATACAAAAGTAGAAGATTCTTAATGTAAATATTTGGCTTTTAGGGTCAATAGATGGATTTTTCCTACAATATTCCTCTTTTCAAAGAGGGAAATTAAATTTAAAACCAAAACCCAAGAACACCAAAAAGTTTCAAATAACTTACTTTGTCTCCAGCATTTGGATTCTTATCTGGATGGTATTCCTTGGCTAACTTTCTGTATGCCTTCAAAAAAGATTTTTAAAAAAGGGTTATACACAAACATCAGTTTAAAGATTTGCAACAATACCCACTTTCCTAAGAAGGGATGTTTTAAAGTCATAACCTTCCAAAAATGTCATCATCACGACTGGTTAGTATTTTTCCATCTCAAAACTGTTTATTCAACAATTTACTATAATAGAGTAGGTAGTTATACTTGAAAATGTATTATACTGAGAAAAACCCAGATACAAACAATGAATGCTACAAAAGAAAAAAATATATTTGAAATGTATTATTTGTTTTTACTGTCAAATGTTTTTATGGCCAGTAAACAGATCAAGATAACCCCAATAATCTGAGAGAAAAAATTAAGGTGTACAAAGGCAAAGTATTAGTATGAATCAAGCTACAGATCCCTGTCTATGATGGCTCCTTGTCTTCCTTTTAACTGTAACACTAAGAAAAAGCCAAGAGATGCTCCTACATGGTGTCTTTTACGTGTTTTATTTGCACAAGTGGGTGACTGGGATCTACTGTGGCCTCTATCGTAAAGTTGCATATACTCTCAATTAAGTGGTCTGGATATACAACATTTAAGTCTTCATTCACACAGACTCATGAATTATATAACACAGACTAGCATTTCCGGTAGGGTAACAGGAAGTCCATTTTACTCTTTTTCGATTGTACTGGTCCTACTGCCTAAGGAGCATTCTCGTTTTTCTCAGCTTTCAAATCCGGATACCCTAAGCCCAGAAGGATGCTGTGAGGATTAATTAAATGTCACAAATGCTTTGAAATTCTAAGATGAAAGATTCTGTAGCATTGCAAAGGGCGATAATACGACCTGTTTATTTTTAGTCAGTGTACACTCAGGTGTTTGGCTGGGACCCATGGCTCATTCCTAAAGCGGGCACAGGCCATGGAGATTACCTGCCCATAGAACAATGCATCCAAACACGGACCCACGCTACCTCAGGCTGTAAGGGCGAGGGAGGAACAGAGGGAGGAGCTGAGGCCCGCAGCCGCGGCACCTAGGAAACAAACCCAATAGCCCGGAGGCACCGGCGGAGGTGGCTACGACCCTCCTGCCGCTCCGCCTCGCGGCGCCCTACACCCGGCGCCGACGTCCGCGGTGTGGACAGCTTCTCTCCCGGTGCCGGGATGCTAAGGGCACCTCGATCCAATCTGTTTTTCCGGGGTGATGAGCGGGGAGAGCCCGACGGGCTGCTGCTTCCCAGGAGCGCCCGGCCTCTGGCGCTAGCCCGCAAAGGGAAGAAGGAAAGGTTTTCGTCCTGTTTGCGCAGGGGTGAGTTTTATTTGCTGCATCTGCAGGCGGGAGGGGCCGGCGGCCCAAGGTCAGCCGGGGCCGGGGTGTGCGGCTCACGGCAAAGCCGGTCCCGCCGCCACCTCTCAGCCTGGGCTCGCTGCAGCCGGCGCCGGCTCACGGGCCGTCCCGTAGCGCGGCCTGGCCGCCCCGGACGCGCAGGCCCCGCGCCCCACACACCCTGCCCGACCGGCCCGCTTCCCAATACCTTCTTCAGCTCGTTCTCACTGGCGCCGGGCGGAACGCCCAGGATGTCGTACAGTTTCGTGTCGGCCACGTTAGCCATGGCGGCCTACGGGCAGCTCTTGGGGAGGCAGGCGGCGAAGCGAACGAAGCGGAGCCGGGCCCACGAGTGGCGTCGGCGGCGGCGCAGGCCGAGGGAGACAGCGAGGGGGAAGCGAGGCGGGGCCAAACTTTGACCCGGCGCACGGCGCGCCGTGACGTCGCTTCGCAGAGCCCGCCCCCTCGTGCTCGGACCGGTGCGGTTGGGTGCTGCTAAGTGGACCGTGTGCTCTCTTGTACCCAGGGTCTAGGCCGCGAGGCGGGTCCGAAGTAGAAAATGAGGAAGAACTCTGCAGGGCGTTCTTCAGCAATTCGTTTATTGTGGGGCCGCGTTTTTAACGCCGTGAGCGCTGTGGGGATGAAGAGGCAGGAAAGAAAATCCATCTGGGTTTCTGCTGGAGGCTAGCAGAAGTCTCCTCTGGGTCTGGTTCCCTGGGGACCTTAGATGAAAAACAGCACGTGGCGTGTGTGTGTGTGTGTGTGTGTGTGTGTGTGTGTGTTGGGAATTCTCAAACATTTACCAAAGGTAGTAGTATATTACACTTCTCAATATAATTAGCTACGTTTTTACCAAATTATTCCATCTATTTTACCCCACTCCAGGTTTTAAAATGAAACCATTTCATTAATAACTAGATAACTTTTAAGGCATAGTCAACATCATCACATTTGATGAAATTAACAATAATTGGTTTATGGCATCCATTTCCAAACCAAGGTCTTCCCCTTGGGCCTTGTGTTAAAAGTCCTTTACCAACACCAGTCTCTAGCTAACATCAAAAGGTTTAAGTGGCTGCCGCTGTGCTTGCTGCCAATGAGGTGATTGAGGCCTATTGATTTACATTTGCTTTAGTTTAGGCCGGAAAGTGTTTGTATCTACCACGTGGTAGGATATGTAGCCATTTACCCTTTATGGGGATAGTAAACATTTTTGGACGATTGGAAAGTGAACTGGTAACAAAGACAGCATAAACATCATTCAGGGTAATCTTTCTTCCTGGACATTCCCCCTGTCCTAGTTTTGGAGGGCCCTGAGTGGCAGCCAAGAACTAGAAGATTCTTGAGAAATTAAGATGCCCCTTCCATCAAAGTCTCCCTCTTACTGAAATGCCATTGGAAGTGCTACTCCCTCTGAAGTTTTTCGTGATTCCATAAACTGGTGAACACTGCTGTCTCATTTTAGTTCCCATTACCCTTGGTTTTTTTTTTTTGTGGACAGATATGATGTTGACATAAATGCTATTCTGGAATGTGAGTCTGAACTCTTTAAATAGGCTGGAAGTTCCTTACAGGAGGACCCCCTCCCCTTTTAAACAATACTGGGGATTGAACCCAGGGATGCTCTACCACTGAGCAACATCCCCAGCACTATTATTTATTTATTTATTTATTTAGCGAGCAGGATCTCAGTAAGTTACTGAAAGCTTGGTTCTCGACCCCTGTGCCAATTCAGTAACAAGGACGTGGTTTTGAGAAAAAGGAAAAGGTTTTATTGCTTTGCTAGCAAAGGAGAAACTGGAGACCCGGGTCCCAGAGGCTATGATTCTGCCCATCAGCAGGAGCAGTGGTCTTTTAAAAAGGTAATTCAAAGGCTACATTCCATATATTCTCTGTTGGGGTTGTAATTCACTTGTTAATTTGGGCGATAATCATTTCTGAGATCTGGTAACATCCCCCAAATCTGGATTTCTTTGTTCTTATTCAGGTGGGGTGTACTCAAGGACAGATAAATCTGCCTAAAATCGGGAAAAAGGATAATCTTCCCCTGAGATTAGGGAAGGGGGAGATATTAGGGAGGAGCAGGGAGAAAGGAAGACAAAGAAACTTGTCCATTTAAAAAATAAGTTGCAGGGGCTGGGGTTGTGGCTCAGCCTAGCACGTGGGAGGCCCTGGGTTTGATCCTCAGTACCACATAAAAATAAAGTAAAGATATTGTGGTTAACTACAACTAAAAAATAAATATAAAAAAAATGTTCAGTGACAGCGCAGCAAGGGCTATACTCAAAGCATAAAGTGAACCACTGTTATAAGAGGTAGTATAAAGTTGTGAAGTTAGATTGTATATGTAGGTTGGTAACCTTTCTCTGCCATTTATTAATAATGGGAACTTCAGCAAGTTTTACCTAACTTTTCTTAGCATATTTCCTCTGTGTAAAAGAGGAAATATATCATTGACTTGTTGGATGATCACAGAATATGTACAGAGTACTTAGAACCAGGAATTAGGGCAATGAAGTATTAAATATTTAATTTTGTTTTGGTTCTGTTAGCTCACAGGCTACCTCTCTATTCATTTCAATTCCAGGCTTCTCTAGTGGAATTCCCCAACTTCCTCCATTACCTATATGGAATGCCCCTCCATTTTTTTTTTTTTTAAACCATAGTATCTCACTAGATTTCCCTGCTTGCTAATTACCATTTTTCTTTCCTGATTTCTCCATAAATTTTTGCTTCACATGAGAATATGAACTGAAGAATATGAACTTTATTGCAACCTTCATATAGTTTATCTTATTTTTATCTTTCTTTATGCCATGAACAGTTAAAAAGAGCTGGACTTTCCTCTTTGTTTCACTTTTAGTCTTTCTTTTTTGCAAGGGGGGAAATGGTTATGATTCAATGTTAGCTTCTGATATTCTAGTGAACAATACCTGGGTAAATTCCTCCTTTGCTCCATACTTCCTGATCTTAAATTTTTGATTCATTTATTTATAATATTTTACCCATTTCTGAGTGTGACTTGTTGTCAGAATTGTTAATTGCTGATTTTATAGATGAACATATTATTTCCGATCAGCATACTTCAACTGATACAAGCTCTCCTGCCTGTCCTCATGGACATGGGTTAAACCTCTGTCAGTGTGACCACTGTAACATTTCAGTCACTGAGTGTTTTTCTGAGGTACCTTATATATTTTAGCTCTATTATTTAGCTAATGCCATAAAGGAGAAAAGACCTGTATCTCATCCTGTGTCTCAAGAACCATAAAATGCTGAGTCACAGTGCATCTGAGGGCTGCTCTCACTAGGCAGATGATTTAAAGTTTGAGGTGAGGCGGGAGTGATTTCAGATTCTGCCAGGCTTACATTGTTGTTCAGTTCTTTTATTTTGATTCAGTATGCTTGTGAAATTGTGGGGCTGGTGTGGGGTGAAGGCGGATTGGGATTAGGAGGGAGTGTATGAACTACAGTACTGTATTCTTGAAGGCCATTTATACTGTTCACAAGTAATTAAATACAGAAATATGTAATCCATTACTTTAGACAATGCTGTATATGTGCATCATTCAGCAATTCAGAAAGTAGCTTTTCTTACTAACTTTAAATAGTTTTGAATGTACAGAGTAGGTGATGCAAGTTAAAATATTTCTCCGGGATATAGAAGAAAGTGCTAATGGTTCTTGTTATGAGGGTGGCAGGACCACAGAGTTGATGCTGGTACTCTGGGAAGAAAGAATTGTGGGATTTATATTATTGGAAAATATCTAAATTCCTTGTAGTATCTAAGCTAGATTTTTTCACTGATGGAGCAACACAGTTGTATATGGTATTCTAGCCCCACCACTAGCATTTCAAACCCTGCCATAGCATGTTGCAAAGATTCAGTTTTTTTTAAATCAATTTTTTGCATATTTGCTTTTAAAAAAATATTTTTTAGTTGTCGATGGATCTTTAATATATTTATTTACATGTGATGCTCAGAATTGAACCCAGTGTCTCAAACATGCTAGGCAAGTGTTTTTCCTCTGAGCTACAACTCCAGCCCCAGGTTCAGTTTTCTTATGTCACTATAATGGTGTAATAAGCAGAGAAGGTGACTGGGTAAGTTTAGATATCTAACTATTTATGCATCAGAAAAAATGATGGAGAAGATACGTATACATATTCATTCACTTAACAAATTCATATTGTAGACCAACTGTGTGCAAGACACTGTTACAGTGTTAGGGGTATAGCTGTAAACAAAACAAGATCCTTGCCTTTATAGAATTACCTGCTTGTAGGGAAGCCAGACAATGAATAAGTAAATAAATAGTATATTTGATGATAATGTGTGCTCTGGAGAAAAAGAAGGGCCACAGGCCTAATTGATAAGGTGACATTTGTATTGATCTTAAGGAGGTGAGGCAGTTAGGCATGAAGAATTTTTCTTTTTTGGCTGCACTAAAGATAGTACCTAGGGCCTAGCAGATGTTAGACAAATAATGAGCTACATCCCTAGCCCTTTTTAACTTTTTTTTTCTTTTTATTGCAGTCTTCCTGCCTCATCCTCCTGAGTAGTGTGCACCATGGTATCCAGCTGCAACAAGGACTTTTTTTTTTTTTTTTTTTTTGGTACTGAGGATTTTATTTTATTTTATTTGGTACCAGAGGCTCTTTACCACTGAGCCACATCCCCAGCCCCTTGTATTTTTTATTTTGAGATGGTCTTGCTAAGTTGCTTAGTACCTTGCTAAGTTTCTTAGTGCCTCGCTAAGTTGCTGAGGCTGGCTTTGAACTTGATCCTACTGCCTCAGCCTCCTGAGTTGCTAGGATTTATAGGCATGTGCCACTATACCCAGAGGATGTTTGAGAAAAGAATTTTTTCAAGCAGTGAGTGACACTGTAAAAGCTCTACAGTTGAACATAACTGGCTAGTTACAGGAAGGGGACCAGTATGACTGGGAAACAAAGCAGGTAGATTGTGGGGGCACTAGTCATTCATAAAGACTGACTTTTACTCTGAGTGAGACAGGAAGCCATTAAAGGGTTCTAATTAGAGGAGAGAGAATTGCATTTTAAACTCATCATTCTTGTTGGCTTTCTTTCTTTTTTTTTTTTTCCTATTTTTTCTTTTGGTACTGGGGATTGAATTCAGGGGCATTCAACCACTGAGCTACATCCCCAGCCCTAGTTTGTATTTTATTTAGAGACAGGGTCTCACTGAATTGCTTAGAGCCTCACCTTTGCTGAGGTTGGCTTTGAACTTGATACCCTCCTGTCTCAGCCTCCTGAACCACTGGGTTTACACAGGCCAGGTGATTGTTTTGTTAAGGAACTATTATAATAAAACCCAGGTTATAGATAGCGTGGGCCAAGACATTCATGGTAGATTGGTGAGGAATGGTTGGGGTCTGGA